CCTCCCCAAATCTGTCCTTTCTCCTCTCCTGTAAGCCCTCATTTAGGATGGCCTCCCAAACTCAGAGCCTGACCTCTGTTCTTCCTCTTCGGCACCCACTTCTATGGGCCACATATCCACTCGCATGGCTCTAGCTCCTGTGACGTGCCCACATGCCCACACCCAGTACCCCAGCTCTTGACCTCCCCTTATTTCTCTTTCCACAGTTGGTTATGGGATCTTTCCGTACACAAATGTGCTTACCTCAGTTGGAAAGCAGCATATCAAAATTCAAACTCATCTTCCCTCTGAAAATCTGCAGTAGTCTTTTCCTATACTTCTGTTTCTTGCAATGTCTCTGTATTCTTTCAGCCCTGCCCCTACCCAAGATGAGCAATTTTTACGTCATCCTTGATCTGTGGTTATTTTGCTCTCTCTCTTCCTCTACTCATTTTGTCACCAGGTCGTGCTGAATTTTCATTTAGTGGAAGTTACTTTAACTTTAAGGAGCTCTGGTAGCATAGTGGTTACAAATTGGGCTGTGAACCACAAGGTCATCAGTTCGAAACTACCAGCTGTTCCACGGGAGAAAGATGAGGCTTTCTGCTCCCGTAAAGATTTACAGCCTTGGAAATCCTGTACAGGGTCACTATGAGTCGGAACCGACTCCATGGAACATAACAACAACAACAACACTTTAACTTTGGGAGACTCCACCATTACCAAGGAGTCCCGATGTGGCACTGTAGGAGAAGAACTGGACTGCTAACTGAAAGATAGGCAGTTTAAACCCACCAGCCTCTTCTTGAAAACCCTATACTGCATTGCTAAGAGTAAGAACTGACTTGATGGCATTTAACAACAACTTTCACCAAGGACGCTTGTTAGAGCCACCACCAGTCCCTGAGCCCTGCCCTCTCTTTAGTCTGGGGGTGGGGACAGGAATCTGCAATTTAAACAAATTACACAAACTTTCCAGGTGACTCTGCTGGTCTGTTTCTCCAACACTGCCTGCCAGTGTCTTCTGGTTTTACCCCTTGGTCCTTTAAGGGATCCCTCCCGCTCTAAGGAGCTCTGGTAGCAGTGGTTACAAATTGGGCTGCTAATCTCACGGTCAGCAGTTCGAAACTATCAGCTGTTCCATGGGAGAAAGATGAGGCTTTCTGCTCCCATAAAGATTTACAACCTCGGAAACCCTACACAGTGTCACTATGAGTCAGAACAGACTCCATGGCACATAACAACAACAACATTCCTGCTCTGGCTGGCCCTCATCACCTCACACCTGTATTGCAACAACAGCTGATCTGCCTGTCACTAGCCTGTCCTCGTGCCAGCAATAGTACAAATATCTTTTGCATCCCATCACTTCCCTGCTCAGAAGCCTACTATAGCTCCCTCAGACTTACTGGGCCCTATCTCAAATCATTTCCTTGTTCACTCTTATCCCTTCATATCTAAGCGAAATGTTTGACCCTGTGCTATTCTGAGGGTGGTCTCCTTCCTACCCCCTCCTCCTGGAACACTTTTGGTTACATAGGAGTCCTGGTGTGGCGCTGTGGGCTAATGTGTCAGACTGCAAAGTCGTTTGAACTGCAAGGTTCAAACTCACCACCAGCTGCTCCTTGGAAACCCTATACAGGATCGCTGTGGGTCGGAATCAACTCAATGGGACTTAACAACAACAACAGGGAGGAATTATGAAAATTCTTTAGATTCTCCATCACGGTTCTCACTGCATCTGTTCCCTTCCCATGCTGGCTCTGCTAGTCACTAGCGATATGACTTTAGGCAAGGTGTTTAGCCTCTCTGTGCCTTAGGTTGCTCATTTCCTCATCTGTAAAATGGAGATATTAATAGTACATACTTCATAGGTTTGTGAACAGGATTAAAAAGAGTTAACAGATGTAAAAGGGCTTTGAACGGTGTCTGGCATAAAGTAAGCACGATGTAAGTGTGGGCTATTATTATTAATTATTGTTATTATTGCCCCTTAGTCAGTGCCTCCCTAGAAACCACTTCTGCTTGCAATAGCTAACTAATGGAGTTCTCTGTCAAGGCTTTCCTGATCTAGCGGAGGTGGTTAAGCATTTGGGTTTCAGTGAGCTTCTCTGCACGAGGGAACCTGAGGAACTGGGCTGTCTACAAAGCTCTAATTATGTCGATTACTTTCTAACCAACTAGGAGGAGAGGAGGGGAGACTCCAAGTAGATTTGAAAGCAAGATTTTTCCAGGATAAGTAGGATGATGTTAGGGCAGCTTCCAAATATCTTAAGCGACAGTGAGTCATGAGCTCTTCTGGGGAGCTTCTTTCTTATGGTCTCTCTAGAGTCCTCTCAACACCCAGGTCCATGTGGCCCTGCCTCCTCATCTGTTCATTCCCTGGGTTCATTCTGGGGGTCTTCCTGGGAGCACCTTCCTCTGGGGTGATTCACAGCCTGTGAGACTCATGCTTTGTACCCTAAGCAGTCTTTGTAAAGAATGCGTCTCCCACATTTCGGTTCTAGTTTTTAAATCCATGTCTCTATGCTTTTGTGGTGAACACAATAAATTCCTTTAGAAAACCTGTGGAATTCACAGTCACTTTGTCATTATGGGCTCAACTTCAATATGACAGGGTATGTGTGTGAGGGGAGGTGGGGCTGGTGGTGGTCACAAAATATTGTTGACATTTAAAAGGAGCCTGTGTTGCATTAAGGCTAAGAACCACTGCCCCATGGGCTGGCTACATGGAAGACATGGCGGTCCCACAGAGCTCTCTGGCTCTCAGTTTTCCTGTCTGCCAAATAGAGGCAAATAAGAACCACCTCTTTTCCTAAGGGCAAGAAACAGAATGTTCTGCATTCATGAGGAGGGTGTCCTTGTGATTCTTGTGTTGATGTGAGGCGAAGACTGTGGTGAGGCTCAGATGAGATAATAGAGCAGCACTTGGAGACGGCAGACAAGGCTGCTGTACCCGCAGCTGTTTTTATTCTTTGCCTTGTTTTGAATCCAGCTGGATCCCCTGAGCCCAGAACCCCAAAGCCTATGAATCTTCCCAGGACCACTATGTTCTTTTGTTCCCCCCCCC